TATATATATATATATATATATATATATATATATATTATAAGCCACACACTGACACAGACACAGAAAGATGCAAACACAAGACACATGACACAGACACAGACACACAAACACATCCACATATATTTGTATATATACGCATCTCAATAAGAACCAATTCATATCCACAGAAATTCAACTATGATGTTCTAACTGGACAGAAAAATAAGAAAGAAAGAAAGAGAGAAAACACGTATCAGACTTCTTTTCCCTTAACCCTTTTGATATGAATGATGTGACAAAAGCATCATGAAAAAATATGGCTTGAGGGGCAGGTGATGGGAACATGCCATCGCAGAAAATTTGGCTGAGGGCTTGGGTGATGGGAACTTGCCATCATGAAAAATTTGGCTGAAGGCCGGAGTGACGGGAATGACTCGCCATACGTGCACGAAGCTCTTGGAGAGTGATTAGACTCAGTGGGCATTTAGGAAGGGATTTTTGCATTACTTCTATCAATAAATGCTTGTGAAGTGTACCATCCATGAGCCATGACTGGAAGAACTCTATTTCCATGCCCCGGACTGACAGCACAAGGTGTGTTACAGGAAATTGAATATTATGAAAAAAAAAGCAAAAAACATAAATAACAAAATGTCACTTATTGTTACTATTATTGTACTGATTTATGGACTACCTAGAAAGATGATATGGAGTCAGTGCAAGGAAAACAGTTTATTACCATCAGGATAGAGCAAATCAAATGACAAATACAGACATTGGAAAAAGGTAAAAAAACTAAACCTACTTCTTCTTCCTCTTCCTTCCTCTCCTCCACCACCTCCTTCCTCGGCTTCTTAGGGGGCGTCGGAGTCTCCTCCTTGTTCTGTTTCATGATGAAGTTCTTGTAGGCATCAGTTTTTTGATACTCCTCCAGTTCCTTCTGATATCTGTTAGTAAGGGTAATGGGTATTGCTTGTATCATGTATGTATGCTGTGGTAAGTAAAGGAATGAAAGACACATGATCTGGAAGAACTGGGGTATATGACTGGGGTGCTGGTGTGTGAATATAGATAAATAAAACGTATAGGATATCTATGCAATGGAATTATATATACAGGTATATATAATAAAGATGTCCCACAGGTTTTCTCCCTTACCTTTCCTTATCAGCCTCAGCAGCTTCTAAATACTTGGTTTTTGACTCTGTATCCAACTGGGCCCAGCGCTGAGCAACCAATTTTGTTATCTCATGAAAAGCCAACCCTGGGTGTGTCTGCCTTATAATTTCTCGCTGGTCACCCATGAACAGCATATAACCTGGAAATATTGCAAATTAATGTTGAAAGTTAATTTTTTTATGATTACAGATCACAGTCCTGTTACAATTGTCCATACTCTAGTTAAGTTAATTTTGGAAAGTGCTACTGACAGATCTGTTTATTAAAACAGACATTGGAAGCACATTTTTTGCTTTAGATTTTTCTTTAGCTCATATCCTCAAGAACAGTAGCTTTCAAAAATGGCAATGCTTCTTTGTAATCATACTGACTCTGTTCTATCCAAAAAGCAGCATGCTAAAGATGCCCTATTCTCAGTTCAATCTAGCAGTAGTGCCGAGGCAACTGATCAATACTGCCTGTGGCTTAAGAGCTCTGGCAAATGCCAACAAACCTCCACCATTTCTAGCAAGGTTTGACAGCTTCCTAATTTGGTGTTGAATTGCCAGGGAGGTCTACAAGCTCAGTCTTATCAGAATATAAGTGGTAGAGGCTTGTTGGCTTCTTCACAAGTGCTGATAGGAGCAAAGCCAGTGTCAGATTTGCAGGCGTCCTCCTAACATCTGCCAAGCGAATATCAGAAAAAAGAAAATGGACAGAAAAAAAGAATGCCCATTACAAATAAAAGAAAAATCAAAATTTAACTTTCCCAACCTGACAAAGGTCCTTTTGGCGCATTGGAATCCTTGGGAAGGAGTCTCCGCTTGCGCCCCTTTGGCCAGCCTTTTTTCTTCGGCGAATTGTCATTGCTTGCTCCTGCACCACCTGTTGTCATCATGCAAGTTCTGTAACGATATTCACGAGGAACAAGGAAGATGTAGTTATTGAGGTATAGGAAGAAAGTTTACATAGCTGAAATATTTAGTAGAAATCCCCACACCCCTGAATGAGCCTATGCCAATCAGCCTCCGTACCTGTTGCCATTCTATCAGAAGCTAACAAACAACCACCACGTATATCCTGACAATACTGAGCTTGCAGATCTCCCTGGTGATTTACCTTCCCATGAGGACCTAAGTACTATTTTGTGAGAATAAACAAGGCGCTTTGTCGGGTTTTGCTGTAATGTGCGGCGTACATGCTACAACAATCACTGTACACTGTGTCATGAATGTGTGTAGATGGAACACAGTCAACTTTAAGGAAAAAATTCTCTTTGACACCAACTGATAGTTCTCTAAATAATGACCACAATAATAAACAATAAAGGTAGTAAGATAATCCTTTAAGGATAAGCAAACACAGGTAAAAGTCAGAGATAAGTTGCATTGGCTTGATTGTTACGACTGAGTTAAGTCAGTTACATTCAGAAAATACTTAAAATGTGGTTTCATTGAGGAAAATATTCCAGATATGAAACTGGTCCCTAAGGAGCTTCGAAATGCTCTCATTTCGTGTGTCTTGTTTGGACATCTTATGGAATTTCTTGTCAGATGTGGTAACATTGAGCAAGATAAGATGAAACTGTTTCCTCTCTCTCTCTCTCTCTCTCTCTCTCTCTCT